ATGCAAGGAAGAATATGAGGCATATAGACCCTGTGCTTGTCTTACCTGACCTTTGCGAAGTTCGGAGACGCGGCGTTAATTCGAAGTCTATCTAGCAAATTCTTCTGCTAATGCATATCCGTTACTCCTCTAGACGCAGTCTTAACAACATAATCATTGAAGGAATACTTGATCTTGACGCTGGATGAGCTCAGTCATATACTTAGATGTCTATCCTACTTTGCCATATTTCAGACTCGGGGCGCAAAAAAGCGGCATGCTGTAGCTGTCACTTTGGCGGATATCTAGTTCTGTAGGGGTTATAACCTCACAAATATGGCCTCGTGATTCTTAGGGGGCTGAGATTAGGGATGATCCATTGGGGGCTTTTTGAGGCGAGATGCTATCGTGAAAGCCGAGGTCGTTAACTCATGGGTGAGGTTTCCTTGGGGAAATCTGTTTAGTTGTAAGTTCGCCCCAGCAACTACTTGTGGGATGTGAAGACCGGCTTCTGACCGGTGTCGGATGGATGAATAGGCGGATTCTGGTGGAGCTAATAGCAAGCTTAGATCGGGTTGGCGAGATTTTAGTTGGTCGACAGAATAAGAGCCGAGTTGGGGGTGCGGTGACAATACTTTGTCAGCAGCGATCATGATTCCAGCCTTGCATTAAAAATGAGGGAATGTCGATCCTAAGTGGCCTGCTGACGAGGTTAAATGTAGTAAGCAAAGCTTTTTCCTTGAAATGGTATCTTCTTTCTATATTCTATGCCTGGATAGATCAAGTCGAAACTGGGTAATAGTTGAGAGGGTCTAGCAATATTGCAGAGTGGGAGGGCTATATTCGAATTCCCTTTACTGATTTACACTGGTGTAGTGAGGATGAAGTGGTAATACATCCCAACGATGTCATTTAAACCTAATTTCATCGACTACCTAAGCTTTGAAATTTATTTGATGATAAATTTCTTCCTTTGCTTGGGCCAATATCACTTTCGCTTATTAATCTTGCATAGTATTTATCTTTGTTGGGTTTTACAAGGACCAAAAATACCACGCTACTATA